TCAAGCCAAGTCTGCTTTATTGTCAATTCTTTCACATGTACAGCACATACACACAGAGAATTGAAATTGCGTTACTCTCAGACCCTTGGTGCATACAGATAACACTACAGTAGAACATAAATACAGATAGACACAGATTAAATACAACTATACAAATAAGGTAAAATGTAAGAAAATATATAAAGCACAAGGCATATGGCAGATAGAGTGCAAACCAGTAAAGTAAACAACAGTGCAGATATAATGATTGTAGTGCAAAAAAAAAAAAGTTAAAATAGTAAAATAAGTGAATTAAGTTCACTGTTAGCACAACAATGAGTGAAAAATTAAATGCAGCTGCTAACAAAAATATTATAATTGATTGTATTAATAAATCAATCAATTGTAAATAAATAAAAACTAAATACAAGTCAAATATAATATAATATTAATTTAATAGATAATTAATTAATAATAACTAATTACATTTATAATACAATGTATTAACAATCAGTTACAGTATTTATTATAGTATTTTGAATAGATAGTTGCATTTTAAGGTAAGTATATAATATAATTTAAATGCACAACAATTAGAGTTAAAAGTTAAATGGAAAAACTGACATGAAAATATGATGACCATATTGTCTAGCACACTAAAAATATATATTTTTAATTTGTTGTTTTAAATATTTCAAAATTGGTTTAATTCGGCATTTAATCTCAGATTTTCAGTGTGGTTTTAGACTTTTGGACCATATCAAAGTACAGTAGCATTGTCACATACTAGGTGTGCCCCAATTTGCATACTAATGCACTATTCTATCCAGTTTTTTTTTGTATAAATAATGTATTAGTGTGTTCACACACTGCCCAGATGATGCATTTAAATAACTGGAAAAAGCAATCAGACTCCGATGTTGACAACATGTTGACACTGATCTCAGTGATGATAACATAACCTTATTCATACACTAGACAGTTGAGTACATACAATAAGTCCATAGTGCGTAATTTGGGACACAACTACTATCATTATAATACTTTTTTATAGGGACCTTGAACACTGGAAGTGGTTTTCAGACAAAAACAAGAATGTCATCTGACAGCAGCACAAAGAGAAATAAAGTCTCCTGTGGGTTACAGCTCGCCCTTAGGTGTCATAATATCAAGCCAAGACAGGAACAACATATTTCACAGTTTGCACAAAAGCCTGTTGCCAAACAAAAGTGCTAGCTTGTACTTGCGAGTGCAATCTTCTGTGTGATTGTAGGCCTGCGTTCTGTTAGTTATGATGCTTTCATGCTTTGCTCATTAAGGTTGATGACAGATGGTTAGCCCTGCAGTGTAATCTAGAAAACTGACATCACAGATTTTTACCTCCAACTTAATTTTTTTAGTTGCGTGTGATTTCATAATTGGCGGCTATGCTAGATTTTAAATGAATAGTTCACTCAAACATAAAAATTCTGCTTTCATTTACTCACATACTTAGTGTGCAAACTTGCATGTGTTGATGTCGTCTGCAGAAACAGCCATGGAAACTTTACAAATGTGTGAGATCAAACGCGGTTTGTTCATTCCCAAGAATAGAGCGGGAGGAAATTGTTATATAACGTAAATTTGTAGACTTCAAAGGCGAATGCACTGTTGGGGGAAAACAGGATATATTAAAATAATATTCCCATATTTATCATTTGTATTTAAACAAAGGTGACAATGAGGCTTTCTTTTTAGATTTAGAGATGCTGTTATTGTTACTGAATGGTGCTGATGCTATTTTTGTCAGTGTGTCTCCTTAGAAATGTGAAACAGATCTTTGAATGAGCAACTATTGATAAACATGGCATTATGGAGATTGATGCCATTGATGCATCATTGCTGTGTGTGCAATTATAGACATTTCAAAGGCAGAGTAACCTTAAATAACTTAAGAATATTATTAACCTTGCCTTAAAAAGCTATGATCAGTCTAAGAAATTGAATAGCATTTTATGTACCATAGAGGATAGATGTGAAATTGCCTACGCATTATTGTTTAAAGTGTCAAATAGTGGATGTGCACAATGTTTACTCCAAGAGTAAAGTTAGATTTGTCTTTGCGATGCAAAATGCATATTTTATGCAATGCAATGTGTATGCAGTGTGAACTTAAAGCACAAAGCTAGTAATACAATATGATGCTACAAATGCTTTGTTGATATATGATTTAACCCCAAAGAGGTTACTGTATGATATTGGATGCACACAGTTCTAAAGCCTCTAAATTATGAATTTTATGTAGGTTATTATTAATTATACAAAAGTCCACATTCAGCTCATGGTTCATGTGTCTTTTTGCTGTGAATTCTTTACTGATTGAAATGTAAGAATAACCTTGATGTTATTAGTAATATATCAAAATGAACATTTTCTGGACTGCAGCAATTTAGATTTACTTGATTATGAGTAGATAATAGAAAAAGGATGTTCAAGTGTGAGTATCACTTACACTATGATCATCAGGCTTTTGAGGAGCATTTATTTGTTCATATCTTAATCATTATTGGATTGCATTGCATTATATGTTTGGATCATCAAAACGAAGCATTTAAATATCATCTTACTAAGACATATTAGAGTTATAGAGTGATTTAATGTAAGTATCTGCTATATTTTGATTTACACTGACTTACATTACAAGCATCGGAATTTCATTATATAAATATCAACATTTGCACTAAATTGCTTATTTCTGCTTAGTTTGTGCCTCTGAAAAAAAAGAGGTGTTTTCACTATATCATACTATAACAGACTGATGTATCAAATATGATACGTAAAACATATGCAAACTTTCTAAAAGATTTGTAAAATATATTTTAAATGAATTTAATGACTATTATTTGAGGCTTCACAGGGTTAAGAATCTACAAACTACTACCTCTGAACATGTACAGCAGCATGTGCACAAGCATCTCTAGTGTTTATCCGGTTCCAGTTTCAGCCCATGAGCATGTATTTATGAATGGGATATAATCGGCACTGACTCATTCACATCCGCTCTCAGTCGGAATTCTTGGCTGAGAGACTTATAGGGGGTTTCCTCTGACCACATGGATATTGAGTCATTTCCAGCACCCTCGACCCAACAAAAGCACTTATGCATTTTTCTTATATCTGGAAAATAAGGTATTGACCTATTGAAAAAGTTGTAATAAACATCTTAAGGCGTGCGGATGTCTTAGAGGTCACCGGGCAGGAAGGCATTGTTATTTTCACAGCTTTGTGTTTCCTTTAGTCCAGACAAACGCACAACTGTGACGTTTAAGAAAGAAAACCTGCATCACTGATGATGACTGTCTAAGAAAAAAACATCACGAGTTGAATTACAGTGTTTATATGCAATATGCAATAATGGACAGGCCTTTACAAATAAGCATGCACCTCTCATTCAGTTTGGCTCTGTTCCCGGGAATGTCTCAGGAATCTCTCACACTCCCACTTCACACACTGTAAACAGCTGGACTGAGCAATGATTTCAGGACAACTTTAATACTTACTGTTAGACATTTGTTCAAATCCTAAATATGAGCAAACACCTCTAATAAAACAGACAAGGGGAAAAAATATACTGTAAATTTGTAAATAAAACAAACATGTCTGGTGTTTTTAATATGCCTAAAAATATGTGCAAATGTATCAGTCAACACCATTGCTGAGCATTTACTGCTTAAAACTGCAGTTTACCAAAGAAGTTGACCTCAAAAAATGCTTTTTGAAACAGCTCCAGTGTCCTATGTCACAAACATTTAACCTGAGGGGCGGGGGTTTTCATCCACTGGTCATAGGTTTCTATTTACAACGCTTTTGCAGCATTGAGAAATGTAGCCAATCACAGACTTATCTGTTGATTTCTTGAACACAATGGCCAATCAGAGGTGTTTACGCTAGAATCCACTCACCTCACAAAGGTTCAACGCTGAGTTCTGTTTGCTCGCGAATCCTCTCATTAGCTATAACAAAACAAAGGTAGACACGATGTAAATAAGAGATTAATTGTGCAGTTTAGAGCTTCATTGATTATAACGGAGCTTCGTGAGACTGCAATGAGCTGAGTCACAGCTTTTTAGTGATTATAAGGGGAGCACTCTTTGCGCACTTTCTAGGCTATAATCCACTCAGAATGTGAATAAATTCGTAGTTACTTTTTATGGGAAGTAATGCATTACGTTACTTTTGCACTATTTCTCATCTGGACTGATCTTGCTGGTTCGTTTTTAATATAAAATGTTATTTTTGGCAAACGTAAAAGCCCTCTCACACCTAAAGAGAATTGATTGAATATGCCTCAGGCTGAAGGAAATGTAAATTAATTTCTGTAAAGTAGAGGCTGCAGCTCAGACAAACCTTTCAGCTGTGCTGCCATTCTGGACTGCATGAAGAATTGGATGCAGGAGAAGAAAGTTCAACATTCTTCCGTAATTAAAAAGAAAGACAGACAACAAACACAAATGTTTTGTTTATCTAAAGCCATTTTTGTCTATTAGTATGCTTGAACTGGATCATCAAAGGTCAGCAGCAAAAATGGGAATATCTGTGAAGGATATTTGTGTTATGAACATTTCATTTTTGCAGGTTTGTGTCATATTCTGAGTTTGCATTTCACAGTTTTTATTCATTTTGAAGAACACTGAATCTGTGTTTGTGCAGGTGAGATGAGTAAATGCATGTTCATATTTAATCTAAATTACAGTAACATCATGTTCACACAGCGCCTCTGTACTCCCGATTTCTCTCAACATGGGGACAGGAGAGCTGTCAGTTAATAAATGGGACAACAAAGTAACCGGCATTACTTATTTGAAAAAGTAACTTAAATGCATTACTTTACTATTAACTTGATTACGTAACTTGCACTACTTGTAATGTGTTACCCCCAACACTGGCCTAAGTAGAATTGTTGCTAAGTATAAAATTGGGAAAAATTTGATCTCATTTCAAAAACGAAAAAGATGAGGTAAACAGTATAAAAATAAAAAAAATTCTAATTTAAATGTTTTATTTTCATTTTACAGTAGAATTTAAGCTTGAAGTATACAGAGAAGTAAATATGCCACGTCTATATAAACATCAGTGCATTGCATAAGCAAAAAAATCTCTGATGCATGAATTATTAAATCACAAAGGAAAAAAGATATCTTAATGTATCCTTTTAAAAACAAGAATCTTTCAAAATAACTTATTTTAAGAGAATTACACATTTTAAACTTGTCATAAAAACGCAATGACATATAAAGGGGACATTCACAGAGAATTATGGGTAAGAATTAAAGGTTTTGGATGTAACACCCTGAAGGCTTCAAAATGATTTGTGACGATCTGTCCACTTCAGTGGACACCAGCACCAGAGGGTCAATCATAGTTTGAACACAACACTAGATGATATTCTGCAGTGGGTTTCCTCCTGACATTCTCTTCACTCCTCATTGGTCATCTTGAGCAGGTTCTGCTTGTCGATCTTGAAGAGCCTCCATCCTTCCTCCAGCGAGAGATCAGATGCTCCGCGCCGCTTGTAGAAGTCAATGGAGGGTTTGTTCCACTCCGCCACGATGAAGTGCATGCTGCTGCACCGAGTCCTGACCGCCGTCTGCAGAAAACCAGTCAATGATTGGAGAAAACTGATTTGAGTACAAGATATACTGCCAGGAGAAGATTAGAGGTGCTGTATAATGCTGGATCATTAACCTGGGACTAATTATTAACTAGTATGGTCAACTTTGAGCTTTGGTACCCTGGTGAAAAAGAAAAACACAGCAAAAAATAAATAAAATAAAAAGTACACCGCATACTTAGCATACTTAAAAAAATACACAGGAAAAAAAAACATTGGTGTAGAAACAATTTTCACTCAGAAAAAATATTTTTTACAGTGTATATACTTAAAAAAAAATACACATTTAAGTGCAAACATGTTACTTGCAATTAAATTCAAATGTATTTCAGTTAAATTTATATTCCATTAAATGCAAACCTAAGAGTTTTTTTAACCCACTTAAGTACATCTTTACATTTATGGTTAAATAAAATATACTTGTGACATGTATGATATGTTTTAAATATATTTCTCACAGAAATGTATTTAATTAAAATATATTAACTTTAAATTTAATATTGAATAATACACTGCAGTTAAAATTATAATCAAGTACTTTACATGTTAGTGAACACATCAAAACAAATTAATGTACTTCTTTTAAAAAAAATGATTTACATTTTAAAACAATTTAATTAAAGTGAACTTTAAAGTAAGACATTATTACAAAGTGCACTTTTAAAAGTGTACTTAAGTGTGTTAAGAAACATGAAAGTGGGCTTAAGTAGGCTTTTGCTTCATTAATAATATATTACCTTCAAGTAGTTTTTTTTAAAATATGCTTATAAGATTTAAAGTACACTGCAAGTGCACATTCAATACAGTTAAGCGCACTTCTTTTTCACAAGGGTAACTATGTGATCTGAACAACATACTTGAACAGTTTCCTCATGGCTATAGAAGCAGATTTTATTGATCTTTTTGGTGTTGCATAAAGGAAGTTTAAACGTACCTGACTCAGTTTCTTCAGGATTTCAGACCCAATTCCAAAGCCTAATTTTAATAGAGAGCAAAGTGTGTTACATGACAGTGTCGCTGACAATTTGATAACACAAATATATAAGGTCCCATTCATACCCCGAAACTCCTTCATGACGTAGAAGTCCTCCAAGTAGAGCAGTTTCCCAATCCAGGGGTCATAGGTGAAATAATACATGGCAAAGCCAATGATCACATGACCTGGAAACACACTTCAATCACTCTATTGTTTCCAGCAAGACAAAGGCGTTAGTTAGCAACTACAAAATCGCTGTTGTTTTTGCAATTTGCTTTGGTTTGCTGAAATTAATTTCAGGTGGGATTATTGGCATCACAACCCTCGCATACACCACAGTCACATTTTCAATTAAACCATCATTTCACTTTTATTGTGTAGATTTGAACATTTATACTAGGCTGCAAAAATATTATCTTAGCAATCTTGTCTTGTTTTCCAGTACAAATATCCAATGAAGATACAATTACTTGAGAAACATAATATAATATAGAATAATATAATATAATATATGTTTCATTTATTTCGCAGGTTTGTGTCATATTCTGAGTTTGCATTTCACAGTTTTTATTCATTTTGAAGAACACTGAATCTGTGTTTGTGCAGGTGAGATGAGTAAATGCATGTTCATATTTAATCTAAATTACAGTAACATCATGTTCACACAGCGCCTCTGTACTCCCGATTTCTCTCAACATGGGGACAGGAGAGCTGTCAGTTAATAAATGGGACAACAAAGTAACCGGCATTACTTATTTGAAAAAGTAACTTAAATGCATTACTTTACTATTAACTTGATTACGTAACTTGCACTACTTGTAATGTGTTACCCCCAACACTGGCCTAAGTAGAATTGTTGCTAAGTATAAAATTGGGAAAAATTTGATCTCATTTCAAAAACGAAAAAGATGAGGTAAACAGTATAAAAATAAAAAAAATTCTAATTTAAATGTTTTATTTTCATTTTACAGTAGAATTTAAGCTTGAAGTATACAGAGAAGTAAATATGCCACGTCTATATAAACATCAGTGCATTGCATAAGCAAAAAAATCTCTGATGCATGAATTATTAAATCACAAAGGAAAAAAGATATCTTAATGTATCCTTTTAAAAACAAGAATCTTTCAAAATAACTTATTTTAAGAGAATTACACATTTTAAACTTGTCATAAAAACGCAATGACATATAAAGGGGACATTCACAGAGAATTATGGGTAAGAATTAAAGGTTTTGGATGTAACACCCTGAAGGCTTCAAAATGATTTGTGACGATCTGTCCACTTCAGTGGACACCAGCACCAGAGGGTCAATCATAGTTTGAACACAACACTAGATGATATTCTGCAGTGGGTTTCCTCCTGACATTCTCTTCACTCCTCATTGGTCATCTTGAGCAGGTTCTGCTTGTCGATCTTGAAGAGCCTCCATCCTTCCTCCAGCGAGAGATCAGATGCTCCGCGCCGCTTGTAGAAGTCAATGGAGGGTTTGTTCCACTCCGCCACGATGAAGTGCATGCTGCTGCACCGAGTCCTGACCGCCGTCTGCAGAAAACCAGTCAATGATTGGAGAAAACTGATTTGAGTACAAGATATACTGCCAGGAGAAGATTAGAGGTGCTGTATAATGCTGGATCATTAACCTGGGACTAATTATTAACTAGTATGGTCAACTTTGAGCTTTGGTACCCTGGTGAAAAAGAAAAACACAGCAAAAAATAAATAAAATAAAAAGTACACCGCATACTTAGCATACTTAAAAAAATACACAGGAAAAAAAAACATTGGTGTAGAAACAATTTTCACTCAGAAAAAATATTTTTTACAGTGTATATACTTAAAAAAAAATACACATTTAAGTGCAAACATGTTACTTGCAATTAAATTCAAATGTATTTCAGTTAAATTTATATTCCATTAAATGCAAACCTAAGAGTTTTTTTAACCCACTTAAGTACATCTTTACATTTATGGTTAAATAAAATATACTTGTGACATGTATGATATGTTTTAAATATATTTCTCACAGAAATGTATTTAATTAAAATATATTAACTTTAAATTTAATATTGAATAATCAAGTACTTTACATGTTAGTGAACACATCAAAACAAATTAATGTACTTCTTTTAAAAAAAATGATTTACATTTTAAAACAATTTAATTAAAGTGAACTTTAAAGTAAGACATTATTACAAAGTGCACTTTTAAAAGTGTACTTAAGTGTGTTAAGAAACATGAAAGTGGGCTTAAGTAGGCTTTTGCTTCATTAATAATATATTACCTTCAAGTAGTTTTTTTTAAAATATGCTTATAAGATTTAAAGTACACTGCAAGTGCACATTCAATACAGTTAAGCGCACTTCTTTTTCACAAGGGTAACTATGTGATCTGAACAACATACTTGAACAGTTTCCTCATGGCTATAGAAGCAGATTTTATTGATCTTTTTGGTGTTGCATAAAGGAAGTTTAAACATACCTGACTCAGTTTCTTCAGGATTTCAGACCCAATTCCAAAGCCTAATTTTAATAGAGAGCAAAGTGTGTTACATGACAGTGTCGCTGACAATTTGATAACACAAATATATAAGGTCCCATTCATACCCCGAAACTCCTTCATGACGTAGAAGTCCTCCAAGTAGAGCAGTTTCCCAATCCAGGGGTCATAGGTGAAATAATACATGGCAAAGCCAATGATCACATGACCTGGAAACACACTTCAATCACTCTATTGTTTCCAGCAAGACAAAGGCGTTAGTTAGCAACTACAAAATCGCTGTTGTTTTTGCAATTTGCTTTGGTTTGCTGAAATTAATTTCAGGTGGGATTATTGGCATCACAACCCTCGCATACACCACAGTCACATTTTCAATTAAACCATCATTTCACTTTTATTGTGTAGATTTGAACATTTATACTAGGCTGCAAAAATATTATCTTAGCAATCTTGTCTTGTTTTCCAGTACAAATATCCAATGAAGATACAATTACTTGAGAAACATAATATAATATAGAATAATATAATATAATATATGTTTCATTTATTTCATATATATAAGTATATTACATAAAAATTATTACAATATATAATTATATATAAAATGATTTTATTTTTCTGACTCCACTAGCAGGCCCCCCCCCCTCTTGATATCTAATGTCATTTTTGATGCATTTTTCTTAATATCTAATGTCATTTTTTATGCATTTTTCTTAATATCTTGTCATTTTTTATGCATTTTTCTTGATATCTTATGTCATTTTTGATGCATTTTTCTTGATATCTAATGTCATTTTTGATGCATTTTTCTTGATATCTAATGTCATTTTTGATGCATTTTTCTTGATATCTAATGTCATTTTTGACGCATTTTTCTTGATATCTAATGTCATTTTTGACGCATTTTTCTTGATATCTAATGTCATTTTTGACGCATTTTTCTTGATATCTAATGTCATTTTTGATGCATTTTTCTTGATATCTAATGTCATTTTTGACGCATTTTTCTTGATATCTAATGTCATTTTTGACGCATTTTTCTTGATATCTAATGTCATTTTTGACGCATTTTTCTTGATATCTAATGTCATTTTTGACGCATTTTTCTTAATATCTAATGTCATTTTTGACACATTTTTCTTAATATCTTGTCATTTTTGACGCATTTTTCTTAATATCTTATGTCATTTTTGACACATTTTTCTTAATATCTCATGTCATTTTTTATGCATTTTTCTTAATATCTTGTCATTTTTTATGCATTTTTCTTGATATCTTATGTCATTTTTGATGCATTTTTCTTGATATCTAATGTCATTTTTGATGCATTTTTCTTAATATCTAATGTCATTTTTGATGCATTTTTCTTAATATCTTGTCATTTTTGATGCATTTTTCTTAATATCTTATGTCATTTTTGATGCAATTTTCTTAATATCTTATGTCATTTTGCTTCTCACGTAAACATATCTTGATTTAAGAATGTTTAGACATTTGTACTGGAAAACAAGATAAAAATACTAAGTAAGAAAATCATTTTTGCAGTGCAGCAGAGTAAGGCTGGGAATCAAAACAAACTAGAAAGACTTGGACGGAATGTGGCTATAAAAGAAACGTTGCCGTTGTCATGGCAATTAGAATTGTTTTCCAAATATTGTCCATTTGTTTGTCCTCAAAATTCTAAAAGATTGATTCATGGAATTGTTCGTTGCCTGCGATTCCCATCCCTAGCTGTGAGTATGGAAACACATCCGTATGGTGCGTCTGGCAGACAGCTGTTAGTTTGGGGCGTATGGTAGTGTGGTGTAAGGCTGCACGTCCCAGCTGTTGTGGCCTTACCTCTGGTTTATTGTATATGTTACGCTATTGGTATCAGTTACCTCCCCGCCCATCCATGTACACGCCACGGGCAATGTACATGGTGAAGCAAGAGACTGTAGCCTGAAGACAATAAATTACAGAGGGGGATTGGATGAGCGTTCTTGGCAAATGTCAAACAACTCAAATTCTCTGTGTTGAGATTCACAAAAAAAGACACTTCAGATTCCAGTGTTCATGTTACAGCATTACTTCAATAAATAAGTTCACCCAAACATTATTTACTCACTCATATTTCCCAAAATTTGAATTCCCAAATAGTGACCACTTCTCTCAAGCTCCAAAAAGGAGATATATGATATATTTATTTATCATTTTTATTGACTGATATTTAACTTTTTTTTTCTTGGAAAAATGTTTTAAAAAAAAAATGCAAATATACATTGACTTTCTAGGTTTTGACTGTCTTTTTATTACTATTTACTTATATTAAATATACTATTATTTTATATTTATATTATTTTTTTTTAATTATGTATTAATGTTATACTTTTATATTTACATTATTTTATATGAATTATGTTATTTATAATTTAGCATGCTATCATCATTTTATTTTATTTATACTATTTTTATTCAGTTATAATATTTATATTACTTTTATTGCTATTATTACTTATATTTAATAATTGTATTATTTTATTTATCATTTTTTAGTGACTGTTATTTGACTATTTGTGATCAGATGATCCACTTGTTCATTAGCAAAAAATGTCAGAAAACAAGCTTCTCAAGTAAAAGTATCTTAATTTAAAAGGGAAAAAATATCTAAACCAGAAAAACACTAAACAAGAAAATCACACATATATGCCTACATTTATAA